TGTAAATAAAATAATAGACGTGTTTGAAAACATGCTCTTCTAGTGCCCAAAAATTCTGCCATATTTAATTTGATGGATGAGTCAGAAAACTTACCTTACTGGATTTAATTTAACTAACAACTTGTGCAGTTAAACTACACTAACCAAGCTGCTGATTAGTTTATAATGAGCAGGCAGACTCACATTGGGGTAATTAGAGACAATTTGCAGCTGACAGTCGAATAACAGCCCGTGTTGCCAGAGGGACTGCAACACGTGTGTTACCTGCACTCTTTGTCGGCCGAGTAAGGTCTTTTTTCTCCCTGGAGGGACTTTGTAGATGTTTTGAACAGAATCTGTCTTTTCTGAAACACTCAAAAAGCAATCGCTCGCTCCTTTGTTGATCTCAAAGACCTACCGCCAGACTTCTGAAATATTTAAGTGATGTTGTAAATGTTTAAAGACAGAAATTATAGGAAGCTTTTGAATGAATAAAATGACTTTTTTAGGATGAAAAGGAAACTTTAATGCTCTTAAAAGTGATTGAGACTTTGTGTCTAAAGATAGGAGAAAGTATGGGGGTTTGAAACACAACCCACCAGTTTATTTTTTCTGGGTCACTCAATAGGTAGTAATGAAGCTTACTGGCGTGGACTACTGGCGGTTGTGAGTGGGGCCCCTTGGAGGTTTTGGCGGTGGCCATGGGTTACTGCTCGGCGGCTGCATTGCCCCTGGGTGGGTCTGGGTGGGGGCCTGGGGGCTCGGGGTGTGGGGGTGGCCGGCCCCGTGGGGGGATCTGGGCAGGGCATTCTCGCGCATCTCATGCCTTGGGCTTCCTGACAGGGTTGCGGAAGGCGCTTTATAAATAAAGCTTTGATTGATTGATTGATTGATTTGATTGATTTGCATTGGGGGTCGGGTCCTGAAATGTATGCTGCCGGGGAGAAGGCAGGAACATGCAGCAGTGCCTGGCCCGGGTTCAGGGGCCTCGGGTAGACCTTGGCTCCTCTGCTGTCCCATCGCACGGGAGGGGGAAGTCCAGGAGGGGGAGAACCCAACCTTACCTGGATGTCCTATGTCTTTTATAGTCCGGAAGTTGTGCAAATGCAGGGATGGGCGTAGATATTCTGCTGGGGTGGGGCTGGGTTGGTGCCCTCAGACTCCATGAGGCTTTGTGATGCTGCTGCTTTGGGCCCTGGCAGGATGGGCTGGGGTCTCCATGCTCTGGGTGGCATTTTGACAACAGAGGTGCCTATTGGGGCCAGTGGGGGAGCTGGCTCCCTGGAGGACTAAGCCCAACCAGCCATTCCTCCCCATCCCCACAAATTTCTCTCCTCCTGCTCCCTCACATCATCACACAAACATGCACATAGGACCTTGGGGGTGGACAAGTCAGGGAGTGCGGGTATGGACCCCATTTCCGCATTCCTGTGGCAACCTGCCCCCCAATTTTATTTGCACCTTAAACACTTCCACCAACGACATTCCACGCAAACACACACTTAGGGCCTTGGGAGTGAGCACAACCAACGGCATTTGGCAGGGGGATTTCTCAGCCTCATCCCAAGTGCCGGTGCCCACTTCCAATTTTAAACTGCACTTAGACACTGAGGGCTGCGGGTGCAAGTGGGGTGGTGTGGTGGCATCAGCTGGCATAGGCCAGACGATGCCCGCACTGCCCGCTCACCACAGCCATGGAATACACCTCATCAACACTCACTAACACCATATTGGAGCAGGCGGAGGGAGACTAGGGGTCTTAGCACTCCTCTGTTGTCGCTTGGCTTCCTGGGGCTGGAGGCTAGGAGGGAGATACGGCCGTCCGGTTGGGGTCTGGGGTGGTGGATTGCTGTGCTCAGCGTTGGGCGGGGGAGCCTGCTCATCAGCACCCCAGCAGAAAGGGTCGAACTCTTGGAACCGGTAATGGTTGAAACCCATGTGCAGCAGTACCAGGACCAGAGTGAATAGGGTGTGTATGGGGAGCATGAGTGGGTGTCTGGCGTGCATTTTTGTAAGTCTTTGGTTGTATGTGTATGTGTGAGCATGAGGGAGGGAGTGTGTGACTGTGTTTGTGTATGACTGTGTATGCCAGGTGGGGCCTTTGACTCCTCCCTTCTCCTGGGACTTCTTTTGGTGATAGAGATCTTTGTCTCCCCTCTCCCTGCCACACCTGATGTGGAGTGTGGTGCCTTGGTCTGCCTGGGTCGGGGCTCCCGGGTCAGGGAGTTGAAGATTTTTGGCATCTGCCAGACCAATCCCGGTGGCTGCCTGGTGGGGTCTGGGTCCCTGGGCTCTGCTGGGTCCCCGGCAGGGGTGGTCGCCCCTGGGTCCCGGGCTCGGCCAGCTAGGGGGTGGGAGGCTGTAGGCGGGCCTGTGGGCTTGCTGCCCATATCTCCCGGAACTCTGCCGGCTGCTGGTTGTGGCCCCCTGGGGCGATCCTCTGCGCCTCTCGATGGGGGTGGGGGCTTTTCTGGTCGCAGTCTCCCTGGAGTTCCTGTGCTCTGTGGCAACTCCTGGATCTCTGGGACTTGGAGCTCCCTCCATCTCCTGCACATCTTTAGGGGCAGATCTGTGGCCCCTCACACTCTCTATTGGACGCTCCTATAGAGAAACCTTACATAAACAAGCGCGTGTACACACACAGGTGCTCACATGGTGCTCTCATAAGTATGGACTTGGGCACGTTCAACACAGGTCTTAAGGCTATGGTGGGCACTTAATGCACTGTGATTTATTATTGTGTGATTGTTCAGTTAAACTATGTTGATTATATTTCTTCATCAAGTTGATGCAGTGATAGCTTGATCTTGTTGCATTGTTGTTGTGTTCCTTTTTTTTTGTTTTTATATATATTTTTTGTGCTTTTTTCTTCTCTTTCTGCAGGTCTAGAAGCAGATTCTTGTTCATTATTTTGGGGCAGCAGTAGCTCAGGTGGTAGAGCGGGTTGCCTCATGGGTTCGATTCCAGCTCCCGCCTGGTGTATCCTGCTGTTGTGTCCTTAGGCAAGACACTTCACCCAACTTGCCTGTGTTAGTGGTGGTCAGAGGGGCCGACGGCGCCAAATGGCAGCCTCGCCTCTGTCAGACCTCCCCAGGGCGGCTGTGGCTACAAGTAGCTTACCATCACTAGCAGTGTGTGAATGTGAGAGTGTGTGAAAGTGTCTTTGGGTGTCTAGAAAAGCGCTATATAGGTTCAATGCATTATTATTATTATTATTGTTTATTTTTGTGGACCCCCCCCCCCAAATCTTTTGCCTCTTACTTTCTCTTTCACCTCTGTCTCCGTGTCTGGTCAGGATTAAAAAGCATTCAAGAACAATAACAATAAAGTTTTAAGTATCAGGCATGACATTAAAAGCAGACGCTTTGATGCTCCACCAAAAGGAGAGGACACACTGAGGACGCCCGCGGTGACACGTGTCCCTGCTCGTCCTCTCCCGATGCGCTGGGGCACCCCGAATTGTCATATTTTGGCGCTTGGTCACACGCGTCATTTTTCGACACTTTGGGTGTGAGAATATGTTTACTAATTCAAGTCACTCTGACTCTGGCTCCCTATTGTGGAACACGTTCGGGTGTGTGTTACTTTTGGAGGTAACACATCAAAGTTGCAATTTTTACACAAGAAAAAAGAGCGAACAGGGGCCGTGGAAGAGGTTTATTGCCATTAGCCAACCAGAAGCAAGATTTTGCATATTAATGAATTAGGCTCATAATCTTGTCGTTTTCTGTCCCCGACTCCTCCAAAAAAATTTTACCCTCTGATGAAAGAGGGCTAGTGCTATTTTTCCACCAAAAACAACTTGGTGGGCATTCATTCTAGACACCACAGCAGATTTATTGAACCAATGATTGAGTGAGACCTTTAAATAAGATGGAAACAGTTTCTCTAATCTCTAATGATGTAGTTCTGTAAGTGTTCAACAATCAGACATTGATGTCATCTTGAAGTTGTTTCTTCCAGGGAATAATTTTACCCAATATTAAAAAGTCTTTCAAAAACATTTATTTTATTTATTAAAACAAATATGTGCTTCACTCTCTCCAAGCATCCCAGAATGCTGCTGCAAGGAGTTTAATACGCACAAGAAATGGAAAACATATTTGATGTGTTTTAATCTCTTAACATTTACTCGTCTTACGTCTGGCTTATGTCTGACCTTCAAGAACACCTCACACCTCCTCCCAGTCTGAGATCTACTGGTCAAAGGCTGCTGGACTCATGTTAAAGTTAGAAGAGCTGAGTCTTTTATATTGGTGCCACCCAGGTTGGGGAGTGTGTTTCTGCTTTATTTAACTTTCCCGTTAATTTATACAAACTTAATTGGTTAAGATTAGATCATTTTTTATGTTATGATTAATTCCTCTCTTTCACTCTAAGATCTCATTTTGTTTTTATCTTGTTTTTATAAGATTCCCTTCGTAGTTTTGCACGTTTGTGTTTTAATCTTGCAATATAATCATAAGTTTGCGCTGTGGGATGGTTCTGGTTCAGGTGGTGTGTGTATGCATGGTCAATGGTAGGCTTAAGGGCGTGGCATTGCATCTGTATTGCAAAACATTTTTATGAAAAAGCCTGCGGTTAAGTTTCCTGCATATGAACTATAAAAAAAAATCTATTTTCATTGCAGAATCTTTTCCCGCATCAGAGACTGAGTTTTTTTTTTTATTTATTTTTTTTGTGTGTGTGTGTGTGTGTGTGTGTGTTTTGTTATTTTTTGTAAATTCTCATATCTGCTTGAGGTGCATTAGTATGTAACATTGACAAGGCTGCACACTGAGGTATTGAATATATAAATCTTTAATCCCAACACACACTCAGCATCCCAATGCATCTTTCAAGTAGATGTGTTTCCATATCGATTTTCTCACAGATGTACAGAGTTTGGGGACTTCATCCAATATTCCTGATGTCAATTAGGTGAATGGAAGTTTTATTCCAGTCAAAGGTCACGGTGTTGTTTAGTGATTTAAAGGTGATGAGGCTTTGAAATATTTTCTTTGTGTTTTTCTTTTCTGTAGCTGGAGGAAGTCTACTCTGCTCTCGTAGAATCTAGACCTCCTCACGTGTATCATCCACCACCCGCGTTTCTTCAGGAGCAAAGATCTGCTCTGGAAAACCATGGATCAAACCGCAAGAGGGAAACGGCAATTCACTCATCTTCCTCAGCATCTTACAAGACATCTAAAGGCTCAGACAGGAGCAGAGACAGAGACCGGCACAGAGAGAGGGACAGACAGAGAGACAGAGACCGGGGGAAGGAAAAAGAGAAGAAGAAGAAAAAACACAAGAGAAGGTCAAGATCACGGTCTAGATCGAAATCACGGAGCGGACACTCCCTTCCCAGTGCCTACAAAAGATCTCGCAGATCCCGGTGAGACGTTGTCCATGCAGCTGCCCACACATTCACATCCAAAATCAAATATTTTCTGATTCTTATATAAGTACAGAGTAGTGTAGCGATACATATGAATTTGCATCTATATTTATCAAATGTGGTGTGGAATTAGCTTGTCTTTGTCGTTTATGATTTTATATTGAATAACTCGGGGCACCACCCAGTTTTGTCTGTGTGAACTGGGACACTGAATTTAATATTTGTCTTCTTCTCAATGTAATCAGTCTCAAAGTTAACACCACATTTTAATCTGAAAGCTGAATTCTTGTAAGAATGAGCCGGCTATTCTCGAGATCGCTAGACAATGATAAGACATGATTTTAAGTTTTGTGAATTTATTACAAACAGTTACATTGACAAAAAGGACCAAACACAGGTTATAGTTTCATGCGTGGAATTAACAAAATTGTTAACCCAAAGCTTTGTGGCAGTGATAGGGAATAGCTGAGATGTAATAACAGTGGAAATTCGGTGACACCAAGATTATAGAAAAATGGGGAATAATTTCTAAAGGGGGACAAGTGAAATGTTCACGTGGGTTTTTAGGTGAAATGGGTGAGTGTGTGTTTGTTTATGTATTGGTATGGGTGCAGAAGGGGGTGTGTGAGTGTGTGTGTGTTCTAGGAGTCGTTGCGGCAGAGAAGAAAGGAGGTCTTGAGGGCTAAACGTGAATGGGGGATCGAAATAAACAAGCCATAAAAATTTAAGTCTGCATTCACTAATCGGGCTTAGCAGGAAAAGTCAGCCAGATGAAAATGATTCACAGGCCTTTTCTCCGTCGCCAGGGATGACCAAACATAGGCTGTGGTAAGCTTGAGGAGTCCCCGTGGGGTGGCGCTTTCGGGGACTGTAGGCTTAACATAAAAGAAAACACAAAACACACAGTTTAGGTCTGTGACTAATAAAAGTTTAAAACATCTACTTTGCACCTTGATTTTAATGGTGAACAACCTAAACACCTTCTTATTGTGGGTAAGCATAAAACAACGGAGTCTTGATAATGATTACATTTTGGAACTTTCCAGAACCTCTGAGAAGTTTTACGACCAGCCCAACCTTGGGAAAAGAGTCAGGTCTTGGCAGGTTGACAAAGAACAGGAGAGTTTGTGATAACGTCGGGCTTCTCCGATTGCTTAAGGAGGAAAAAAACAAGTCACTTGGTAAAATTTACGTTCCTGGGAGAAAATGTAGGACTTAACCAGGTGTTTGAAAATGGTATCTGGGAATCGATATGCTTGTAGGCCAGTGCAAATTCCCCTCTTTCTGTTAAGTGTGAAACAAAACTCTTGTGTGAAAATGTTATTAATGTTATTGTTCTGCTCCGTGTGGATCCCGATAAAGTTAACTGAGAATATAAAAATGTGGATTTCCACTACAGCAGTAAAAGTAGTTATTTTTATTTTCTACCTTAAGACTACGATTATTTTTTGGCTATTTAGAAAATGGGTTTCTATGACTTCTGTAGCTTTTCTGACTTGTACAGGAAGTGTTTTAGTATATTTTTCTGTAGGTTTTATTCTTGCTCTTTTCCTTGTTGGTGTTGCATTTTTAATGCGTCTTTCTGCCTTTGTTGTTGGAAAATGACCATTTTCCTTCACTGATTAATTTTTCTAAATGACATGCACGCTCTACATACTAGCCAGTGGACAGAATTAAATTAGCTCTGCTCTTTGTAGAAAGAAACCAAAAAGGGTAAATCATCTCTTAGACTATTGGTTAATATTTAATGCTGTTTTTAGGAGAGCCTCTAGAATGCCCCTCTACTCTAAAGTAAACCATGTGAGGTATTCTTTAAATTTAGTTTCATAAGAAATCAAAGTTTCTTATTAAACAGTATTTATCCAGCTTTTAGACACCCCGAAGTAGTTTTTACATTAAAAGTTTCCTAGCTTTTCATTAATATTTTGCCATTATTTTATTTCTTCTTGTCAAACCATAATGTTTTCTTTGTCCTTAATGTCCTCCTTTGTCCCCGGGCCTAGATCCCATTCTCGCTCCCCAGGGAGGAGGGACAGGAGGGGCCCTTCTTCAGAAAAGAGACTTCCCAGCAGCAGCTCTAGCATGCCCAGGGGTCGTAAACGATCCAGGTAAACTTAAAAGCAGGTGCTAACGGTGAGCGCTCAGAGAGAGCGTCTCAGATCTTGACGTTCAGCTTTCTTTCTTTAAACACTGAAAGCTGAAAGTAGGTGCTAATACAGCTACATCTCTTGAAAACAACAACAAAATTGACCTAAGTGTTTTTGTTTAAATGTTTTTATCATTCTATCAAGCTGAATTGACCTTCATGGCCTCCAAGGACATCTGAAATAAACTCATTCTACTTACACAAGAGTTTGCCATCGTGTGGTGACCTTCGCTTTTTCTAATCTCAAGTTAAATGTTTCCTTTCAGATCTCCTGCTGAGCACAAGAGGCACTCGTTGTCCAGACTCGTGCAGACCGCAGGCTCTTCTGTCTCCCCATATTCCTCGCCCAGAGTTTTGTCTCCGTCTGCGAGTCCTGCATCCAGCCTGGGCCGCTCTAGGTACCTCATCACCTAAACATATAAAAGGAAATTTCCACAGGTTAGCTGATGTCTCCTCACTGAGGCAGAAACAGGTCTTAAAGATGACTCTATTATCAAAACAACACGAGATATTCACCCATTTGGTCATCAAATGTCTTAAATGTCCTTTGAAGGCCACTCACCAAATAACTGTGACTGAAGGAGACAGGCTTTTATAAACGTGAACCGAAGTCTGAAGACACGTCTACCACAGACTGCTTTGCAGTTTCTTGTCACCTGTTGTGTTTAATCAACTTGATGCCTGAGCTTGCAGGTTGGGCCTTTTTAGTGATGATAAGCCTGGTGTATTTGATGCAGCTTTAGACTTTAGATGGATATTTTAGTTCTTACGGGTCACATACTGTATCTTTGTGCTCTACTTCTGTTCTTCTACCTTTCCCTCCCCCTCCTACTGCTCTTGATGCCTGTCCAACTTGAGCATTTCAGAAATATCATGAATATTGTATGTTCTCTGCTGTTAACACAATAGATTTTTTTTATTTTTTTTGCCCCTGACTTTCTTCTCTTTACTTTTTTAGGGGTGGTTCTCGGGAGAAAGACAGTGCAGTGTCTTCTTCTATAGTGTCCTCTGTGCAGTCCAAAATAACTCAGGTATTGTTCTTTGCTTTTATCTTTGAAATGTCCTCTGCTAAACTTAACAACCCACCCAGTAAAGGCACAGAGTGGTCTTTGTTTCCATCATACAAAAAAAGAATGCAAAGTGCTGTGCACTTACAGTCGGTTGTTATAGCGTTTGTCTTGGCGAGTGTTACATTAGTTCATTTTTCTTGTCTTTTATCGACATATCTTCACCAAGCCTACTTTTAAGCCTGAGAAACTCACTGGTGTGTTATATCTTGTCTCTTTGGAGCATCAAGTACAGTCGAGACAAAAAGAAGGCCGTTTTAAGGTTTGAAAGGGAAGGAACAGTAAAGTGTAGAAAGGAAATGCATGTTTCTGTTGCACTTTTAGGTGGAGCAAAGACTTTAATTGAAGTGAACTTGAATTTAAAACATTTACCTTGTTGTAGAATATAATCATGTTAAGGTATCTAATGTAGCTTACCAAAATGTGTCCATCTCAGACCTGTTTTCCTATGCAAATTAGTAATGTTGTAATGGCTGCTGAGAAACGTTTTGTTCTGAGAAAAGCTGTATGGCAAGCCAAATGAGCATTTATTCTGATATCAGGATATCAGCCAGAATTGTCATGAACATGTAAGCCATTTCTGTCCACTAGTTAACTAGTTAGGCATGTTTGTGTCAACTAGTTAAATATCGAGGGTGAAAATGTGCCCACTAGTTAACTAGTGGCAGCAGAAATGCGCACTAGTTAACTAGTGAACACATTTAGGCTTCAGTAGTTAACTAGTTGACACAAAAACTGCTCACTAGTTAACTAGTAAAAGCAGAAATGTATACCAGTCAGCTAGTTGAAGGTATTTGTCTCACTAGTTAACTAGTGAGGGTCAAAATGTGCACACTAGTTAACTTGTGGTAGACATAAATGTGCACTAGTTAACTAGTGAACATATTTTGGCTTCACTAGTTAACTAGTTGACACATAAATGGCTCACTAGTTAACTAGTAAAGACCAAAATGCACACCAGTCAGCTAGTTGAAGGTTTTTGTGTCTCACTAGTTAACTAGTGATGGCCAAAATGTGCACACTAGTTAACTTGTGGTAGACATAAATGTGCACTAGTTAACTAGTGAACACATTTTGGCTTCACTAGTTAACTAGTTGACACATAAATGGCTCACTAGTTAACTAGTAAAGGCCAAAGTGCATACCAGTCAGCTAGTTGAAGGTTTTTTGTGTCTCACTAGTTAACTATTGATGGCCAAAATGTGCACACTAGTTAACTAGTGAAGGCTTAACTCCTAACTAGTTAACTAGTTGGAGTAGGTCAGTGCCACTAGTTAACTAGTGAACCATTAATGACTCACTAGCTAGCTAGTTGATGGCAGCAGGCTCACTAGTTACCTAGTTGATGCATCCATTGTCCAAACTAGTTAACTAGTGAGGACATAAATGTATACTAGTAAACTAGTTCAAGTCTACATTCACACTAGCTAGCTAGTTGCGCAGAATTCTAATTAGGAGGCGGAGAATTTCTCAAATTAAGACTCTCTATTGGCTCCCTGTGTCAAAATAAAATATGACAACCAATCACAGTGCGGAATTTCGTAAAATCCCACCCCAAACATTTGCATGCGGCACACAAGTTAACATGCTGGCCAGAGGAACCTCAGCTAGTGAACTAGTAGTGGCTTCAGTGTGACACTTACATGTAAACTTGTGAAGGCGGAACTGCTCACTAGTTAACTAGAGAGGGTACAAATGTCCACTAGTTAACTAGTGAGGTGCAAAATAAGTGTCACTAGTTCACTAGTGGGCCCCAAATCGCCCACAAGTTAACTAGTAAGGTGCGGATATGCTCACTAGTTAACTAGTGAGGTGCAGATTTGCTCACTAGTTAACTAGTGCACCCTAAAGCGCCCACTAGTTAACTAGTAAGGTGCAAAAAAGCATCACTAGTGAACTTGTAAAGTGCAGATATGCTCACTAGTTAACTAGTGGGCCCCAAAATGTCAACAAGTTAACTAGTAGGGTGCGGATTTGCTCACTAGTTAACTAGTGAGGCACAGATATGCTCACTAGTTAACTAGTGATGTGCGGATTTGCTCACTAGTTAACTAGTGAGGTGCAGATTTGCTCACTAGTTAACTAGTGCGCCCTAAAGCGCCCACTAGTTAACTAGTAAGGTGCAAAAAAGCATCACTAGTTAACTTGTAAAGTGCAGATATGCTCACTAGTTAACTAGTGGGCCCCAAAACGCCAACTAGTTAACTAGTAGGGTGCGGATTTGCTCACTAGTTAACTAGTGAGGCGTGTATATGCTCACTAGTTAACTAGTGAAGTGCGGATTTGCTTACTAGTTAACTAGTGAGGCGCGGATTTGCTCACTAGTTAACTAGTGAGGTGCGGATTTGCTCACTAGTTAACTAGTGAGGTGCGGATTTGCTCACTAGTTAACTAGTGAGGTGCGGATTTGCTCACTAGTTAACTAGTGAGGTGCGGATATGCTCACTAGTTAACTAGTGAGGTGCAGATATGCTCACTAGTTAACTAGTGCGCACAAGATGCACACTAGTTGCTGTTTTTGGAGCAATCTAGTTTACTTGTTATGTAAAAATGTGTTCTTACTAGTTAACTAGTGACAAATTTACCTTCACTAGTTAACTAGTTGACATATTTGGCCTTTCTAGTTCACTTGTAATGGGACAGGAAGCACTCACTAGTTAACTAGTGAGCATATCTGCATTATAATTTTTTCTCAGTAGCTTATAGAGGGCAAACTGAGCCTTACATGTTAAGTAGTGAACACAAAACACTGTCACTAGTTAACTAGCTGCAGAAAAATGCCCCTAAAACTAGTAAATTTGTGGAATTTGAATAAATACACACTTGGCTGGCATTCTGTGTAACATGTTAACTAGTTCGACCGCTGTACTGCTCACTAGTTAGCTAGTGAGCAAATCCGGCCTTTACATGCAAATGAAGAAATGCAGAACAGCAATGTGATTGGTCCATGTAGGACTGAGAAACAGAGAAAGTATGGCGGACTCTGTTTAGGCTGTTCTAAGAGAAAATTTGATAAACTAAGATTGTTTGAGCATATAAATATGTTTTGACGACATTTGTAGCGAGAAAGTTGTGGTGTATTGCTGTAATCTTTGTTCAGTTAACGTGTACAGTCTTTAGTTTTCAGTTATTAGTCTGAAAAAGCCTGGAGGCGGAAGGCAGCGGCAGACAGCATGTCTGTTTCTGTTGACAGGAAAGTGCAGAAACTCCGCAGAAATCTCCGTCAGATATATTGTTTCACATTTGTACGGAAGCGACAAGTTTATAATAATAAAAAAGGCTCTATTTTACATACGTTGCTGTAAAGCCTGCCAGCACTCATGGTGTTTTGAAGGGATAAATTTGCGAAGAGATTTAGCACATAGCACTGGTGGTCTAGTGACTAATGCGTTCGCCTGCAATGGCGAAGGTCGCGGGTTCGATCCTGGTTAATATACTTTAGTATTGTACATTATTTCACTTCTTTTCTTTTGCATAATTTTTGTATTTATGTCAACAAGAAACAAAATACGTAACGGATTAGTGGGCAGAGTTACACACACACGCACGCACGCACGCACACACACACACACACACACACACACACACACACACACACACAAAACATGTAAACAAGTATTTTATGAGTATGAATCTGATTATTGCCGACAGTCGATATTTAAGCATGTGTGTCCCCCTTCCTCAATCCATCCTCGCAAAATAAAATCATCGGCACAGCACAGCAGGCTTTCTCTTGATCCAGAACTAGCACTTCGAAATTGATCATGTCCGCGGCCATCTGCTGCACAATCAGCTGCTCGCAAAGCGGGAAACATTGAAAACAGCTTCATGAACTGAGACACAACAGGGTTAACATCGACAAAAAAATCCACAAATAAATCTAAATAATTAATGCCATTTCCGTCTTATTCGTTGAAATATACAAATAGCAGATCATAAATCTAGAGCAGAAAAAGCTGCTGCAGGAAGCAGGGTTTGTAGTTATTCATGCACCAATTCATCAATGTGATTATTGATCAAGATCAGGTAAACTGATATTAATGTTGCAACATTTCATTTGATCATCTGAATGATACCATACAACTGAATGACCTGTTGAGTCTCTGCATATTCAGGTATTTACTACGGAAAACAAACAACAGCAGGCAGCAGCAGGACTCCCCATGTTATTTCTCGGGTCGCTGGCCCGCGGTCGTCTGGGCCGCTGCGGTCAGCTCTTAGGTAGAGCCGGGAAGCCCTCGTTCGGCTGCGTGGGCTGCTTCACCGTGGACCAGCTCCCAGCAGCCGCTGGTCGGGAGAAACGCTCTGGCTGCAGCTCCGATCAGACCCTACCAACACCTCGCCACAGACAGCACCGCATTAAAAGCCCACAATTACGACCCGCTCCCCAAAGTTACAATTCTCAAGCACTGATGAACACATACATAACCCACAACAGCTATGAAATGTGTGTTATTTACGGCAAAAAGGAGATATTTTTCAAGCCGACGTGCCACTGTTAACCGCAGTTGGCTTGGAAATGTGCTGATTTTATTATTTTTGTCAATTAAAATCCCCCTTGTTTGCTCTTACGTTTTACGAAAACGCAATATTAATTAAAGCACGCTTTAGTGATCAGCATGTAAAGCAAAGAAGAAATGTGAACATTTCAACCCATTTCGAACCAACCAGTAATATGATTTCTTAACACGGTGCAGCGGCAGCATTTAAAAACCAAATATAGTTTTTACTCTCCAAAAAAAGGAGAAGACAGTCACGGTGCAGCAACCCATTTTAGTCCATTAATCTCCACAATAAATATCCAGACAGAGAATTTCTACGGCCTCCCTGTAAACTCCAATGTCACCCAGGACCAGTCTTAAAGAGACAACGTGCTTAAAGGGAAAGTGTGTAGATTTCTGGCAATAGGGGGTAGTAAATACCAAAGTCACTGCAAACAAGCTGTATTTTTTGTTCAAGTGAGG